CGGCGCACTCCACCCGACACCCCGCTCTCCTGCCGACCACTGAGCAGCATCAGCCAGCCAGCTGAGCTCTTCCCTGCTCTTCTGTGCCCACTGCATTTAGCATTTAGCTTCTCTTGGCAAGTGTTCCATTTGCCCGTATAGACTACACACTCCTTGAGGGCAATTAATAACCTGTGTTGGAAACTCTTGGAATTGCCCACTGCTCATCACAGGGTAAATGTTACTTGATCCACAGAACAATTCTGATGAAGTTCAGTTGATGTACTTCTAGAAGTTTTTCAGAAAATAGAAGAGACCTGGGATGAGAGAGGAAGGGACGCGTGGCCTTGAAGCTTTTGGAAGCATACCTGTCCTCTTCGCAGGAGCACTGAGCCTGGCGCCTGTCACAGCTCTCCCAGTAAGGAGGACGGTGGCTGGATTTAGCTCTTCCCTCCTCTTCCTCCCCTAACACCCAGGTCTTGGTATTCTTTAGCTACCCCTTCACACACTTTCATGGACATAGATGGAGATCCTGTCTTCTTCCCTCTTCTAGGAAAGAGCTTGAAACGTCAGCGATCTGGCTGAGGGGAGGCGTGGTGACCAGCAGAATGGTCAGTGCTGGGCGCCCAGGAGTAGAAAAAAACAATACTCCATTTCTGGGGAATTGGGAATTGGCCTTAACCCACTCTGATTGTCAGCACGGACCACACAACAATTCTGGGATTCCCAGGGCCACAGGGGGAGGGTGGCTGGGAAAAGGGAAAGACAGCAAAGCCCTCAAGGGCCATCAAATTACACCCCACACAGATAGAATGGGCTGCACCTGAACAGTAGAGTCTGGGAGTCAAGGTGATGCTGTCTGCAAAGATATCCAATAAGAAATCAAGATCTTGTTAATCAAAGAATTTATATGCATATATGCACAACCCAAGGACACGGACAATGGTGGGGAGAGGGACTGGGAAGGGGGATGGGACGGGGTGGAATGGGTCAGAGGGAAGAAAAAGGGACATCTGTAATATTTTAAACAAAAATAAAATAAAATAGAAAAAGAAATCAAGATCTCGCCCAGTCAGCATGGCTCAGCAGTTGAGCATCAACCTATGATCCAGGAGATTGTGATTCAATGCCCAATCAGGGCACATGCCCGGGTTGCGGGCCCTATCCCCAGTAGGGGGCATGCAGGAGGCAGCGGATCAATGACTCTCTCATCACTGATGTTTCTATCTCTCTCTCTCCCCCTTTCCCTTCATCTCTCTAAAATCAATAAAGA